GGAAAAGTTCACAAGCTCAAAGCTGCTATATATATATAGAAAAAATTGTTTGTTTAGTGTTCGCGATCCATTGAGAGAACGATCAATGATTTTCACGATGTAACAATTCTGAGGAATCAAACTTTCGAAGCGTATCATTGCAATTCGTTTTTTGTCGTCAGGACAGTTGACGTTTCCAATAGCGATGCCGCGTTTATCGTCCCCGCCCGGTCCCGGGTTGGCCAGAAAGCACTGGCAGACCCCACATCGAATTTTTTTTGTAAATATTATAACCTAGTTCATCAGTACAACAGTACATCATGTCTTAGATGGCCATAATAAGTGAATGGGTACAATATGACAAGCTGCATTTATCTGATTCTGCGGAAACAAATAGTCGAAGTTGCAGTAACTCGCCGGCCGCTCATCCCATCTATCGTTGCCACAACTTTACATAGGAATAGGGCAATTTTATCAAAAAAAAAAGTATACTTCATATGCACAGACGAAAATTGATTGGTATATATTACTTTTCAGTTTCACACTTTTCTCCGAAATAATCATGCACCTAAACGTATTGCTATGGCAAATGATTTAGTGCGGCGCACCTAATTGAATAGTACAGGGTTAGGGTGAGCAATAGTGCTTCCTTTTAAAACCCACTTTCATGCTACTGGTTCTTCTAAGCCGCTATTGAACAAGTTTACGGCTGTTAAAAGGTTTTTTCCAATACACTGTTTTAAACGGCGTTTTCTTGTTATCATGCGGAAACGCGGTAACTGGCAAATTACTATAAACGGTATCAATATACCTTATCTCCTAAGGACAAATATTGTATTTCTGGTATAAACGGATGAAGCTGTACATCGCGAAAGTGATAATCTAACTAAAACTGCTTTTGCCGCCTGACTAAAACAACGCAGTAACATAACGGATAGTGTCGCTTTGTTGGGTGTCCCAGAAATACTCAGCTGAGCGCTCCTAGCAAGCGGCGCGCTCCTTGAACTGGGCTGGTAGATGGTCGACGAGGGCGCTTGCCTTATGTTCATCTGCTTAAAATGCAAGAATGCATAAAATCATTAATAAGTTTTAAAAAATTATGCGTGTAAACGTGTGTAAATATCTCATTGGTGATGGTGGTTGTTCGGTCCGTAATGGACAAAATTAGATCGGAAATTGTATCATTGCAACTCAACTGCGGCGATAATAACCAATAGTAAAGCTTTCTTTTTTTTTTTCAAATAAGTATTCTGGGTAATATAATATCACCACATATTTACATTGTACAAAATTATAACAAAATACCATTATCCTGCGTATGAAGCGGTTTGTTACTGACATTTTCGATTATCACTAGTTACAATCGACTTGAAGCTAAGTACTCAGGTAGTAAGAAGGTTAGCTGGTCTTACACGGTGAAGGCCTTGATCGAGCCATAGGACGAAGCACTTAGCAGTGCAATTGTTGCAAAACACATTTTCCATAGGCGCGAGTGCAAGTGGATCTCTGATAAGAAAAAGTATAGAACAACTCGAAGAATGAGCGAGTGCATGCGGCAGTAAAAATCAAAATCAAGTCTGTCTTTAGAAATTTTACAAAGTACAAGTCTTTTCTGTGTTTAGCTTTTCATCTCATATTGCGCGTTCAATATTGCCGCTCTGCTCGCTTCAGGCCAAGCTGGCCTTGCCGGAGGTGGCCTCGGGTACGTAGATGGACTCGAACATCGCGATCTCGGCTGCAACCGCCTGATTCACGCTCGTTCGTACACTTTCCTCACTGGCAAGCTCTTGCCCCTGTTGGAGTCGCTAAGTTCGCCGCTGCCCCAATTCTTGCTGCCGCTCCCATGGCCGCCTATGGAAATGCTCGATTCAGCCTTGCCCTTAGTCTTGGTCTTTGTATATGTACAAATTGGCTCGAAGAAGAAGTCTGGTATCGTTACTAGGCATTTGATCAGACAGCTGGCTCATGCCGGCACGAAACGAAGTCTGCCTCCGCCCAGATTCGGGCCTATACCACCACGTATCGTTCAAGTCTAGCAAACACACATCTTATCCACTACGTCATCATGCGGACCCTCGTTAATTACGTATTCTTCTTTATTATAGTATATATTAATAATTACATAATATATTAATTACTTAAAATAATAATTACGTAAGAAGTTACGTTTTATCTAATCAGTTGAGTATACAACGTTAAACCACAAAATTTTTGTGACCTAATCTTTAGAACTACTTGAACCTTTTTCCTAACCTTATCAGCGAAACAAACAAAATTGTATTGACTGAATGGTCTGTGTCATTACATTCATGACAATAATATGGTCTCTGCAATCAAAGCTTCTTCCAATATCTGACAGATTTTTTTATCTTACCTTCTTCGCAAAATACATAATTATGTGTCTTGACCTTTCGAAACCGCAGAGGCTTCACTAATGCGTATATCTGTAACAAAGATATTTCTTTGTCGGCCTATGATTTGATCTACAAAGATCTGCTAGAGCTGATCCTACTGTCATACTTCTCCCAAATGATAAAGCATAGGTAACTTAAAAGGGTCGAAAGTGGCGTGTACTTTAGGAGGGAAGTGTCAGCACGCAATTATTGGAAAACCCATGACGCTTCTCCTGTTGTGCTATGTATTGAATCTGTAATTCGGTTATTTTTTTTTTTTTAGCTTTGACTCCAAAGGTTCCCGTTCTCATTTAAAACCTACAAAATTTAACCTTTCCTAGTTTTGTTGCCCATTGCTATAATATCTAAGTGTCATATATAAATCGCAATAACTTTACTACTGTGCTGCTTGGCTCTTCTTGGTAAACACTTACGAGAAGTGTTATAGCGGTACATATTAGTCAATGCTGTTTATTTTAAGCCGTCCTCTGAGTAAAAACGTTTGTTAGTACTTCATTTTTCTTATCACTTATAAAGAGCAAAGCTTTTCTTCGATATGATTATCGAAAATTATCAACGATTTAAATTCAGCGATACGGCTTGCTCGAAATTAAGAGATATATTAAATCCAAGTTATTACATGTTACCGCTAAATACAGAGAGATATTTTTTATTACTACTTTTGCTTCTTTGTACATCTGAAGCACGCGACCATAAACGTTGGGCTACTTACTAAGTTTATTTCATGTATAGCACGTTCCCCTGGAGACAAAATACAGAATACGTTTAATTTCTGTGTTTTAAATAGGAATCTGATCGCAGGAAAACAGGAAATTTTTCGTTGAAAAAGTTCAAAGTACACGCCAGCGTCGAGCATCGCGTTAATGTATCCACTTCATTCTAACCACGGTATATTATTATGATACTCATATAATATACGTAGCAGCGTGCATGTTTCTGCTAGTACAAACGTTGTTGGCGTTATGACTATTATTATGACGTCGCTATGTATGGCACCCGAAGCTGATATGCTTCAGGTAACGGATTAATCGAGTCGGGGGCCTTTCCGCGTCACGTTACAATTGTCGTAGGACACAGTTGCCGTATATCGTCCAGGTGCGTTTTTAAAATCAGAGACGACAATGTACATATTTGATAAAGGTCCAAATCATTCACTTCGTTCTCGATCAGTAAATGGCCATGGTAGGTGATGACAATGGTGTGGTTTAAGGAACGAACATCAGCACCCAACAGCCGAAAAGCTCACGTTTGCATTTTTCTGCTACGCCCATTTTCTGCTACTCAAATTGTCTATCTTATTGAAATTCGCGTTCGTTTCGTTTTTTGACTAAGGTATAGATAATAAATAAGAATAAAAAAAAAAAAAATCAGGTAAAGGTAATGGTAAAAAGGTTCTCGTTCGTCTCTAAGGTTAGTATTTTTCATGTCATTTTAGCTGTCTTATTAATATTGTTGTTTTCGTTATTATTGCTATTATCACTATCTAAAATTGATCAGAACCGTTATTGCAATGCGAATAGAAATATGAACCAGTGCTGGGTTCTGGGTTTCTCTGACACTAAAAAAAAAAAGTCATTAATGTCTTACAAAAATTAGAGTTATTTCCAAGAATAAAATCCACGTCTGAAATGGCCAGTTGAATTGGCATGAAGCGAGGAGAACAAGTTTACTTTTAGTGAGCAAAATATCCAGCTACTAGCAACCTTCATAAAGTCAGTTTCGTTTAGTCTAGCCAATATGCATAGAAGAAAACAAAATATCGTACATACGTGCCGCTACAGTGAATACTACCTGCACGCTAAAAATCATTTTGCGTGTTTCGATATCTTACATTGTAGCAGGCTTACTCAAAAAACAATCATGCTCAAGCTCACGTTTAGGCTGTTTATATTGAACTGTTAGCATTGACGAGACAGACATGATCTAAGGACAGTGCCGCATTATCGAACGTATAGTACGTATCATGTATATATAATAAATAATATGTAGCAGTATGTATAATAATACCATGGCAGTTTCGAGGTTAGCCCTTCAAAGAGAACTTGTAGTCTGAAAGCATTAGTCCGGCAACTGCAAACAGCAAATAAGGTGCTTGTACGACGAAGCAGCTTCGAAGTTACACTAGATATATGATAGACCAGGTAAAACTTAATACGTTACTAGTCGCATCAAACATACAAACACGCTACTAACTGTCGACTAAGCTCATCTTTTTTGTACTACGGTTGATACAGAAGCTGTCCTATCACAGTAATCTTGACAGATTATGATCTGAGAAAACAAAAGGAAATGCCAGGGAGTAGAGTCACCTGTTACGTAAAGCTGTTTACCTCAGTATGATCGTTCAACTGCGTGCACACGAACACACGCCGGGACATAGAACATGTATTAAGTAAAAATAAATGTAAGAGGTAATTAACGGGATACATCATTAAGCTCTCACAAGCTACACTTTAATACGACCACGTGGGTGTGTGTGCCGTTACGAATTACAGTATTGTACGTTGCCAGAACGGTATATGATTTAAGTAAGGGTAGATCTTCTGTACGATCTTCTGTCTTCTCATGCAACGCACATACGCAAGGAAAGGGAGGCCGTTGTATCGACAACACGTAAACGGGCAATCAGTATAAATGGTGAAAAAGTGTCTGTTCCGAACAGTACGCTCTAGCAACTGCAACAAGCTGAAGTAATCATGTTCGCTGTACGTTATTGTTACAATTTTCATAGATGCATGAGCCGTTGTGGTCAAATTTAGTTTTCTAACAAAATATGGACCAGACAGTGCATGTCTTGTTAGACAAACCTATTCTTATTTTTCAGCTTTTCGCCATTGCCGCTCTGGCCGCCACGGCCCAAGCTGGTATCTCGGGATACGGCCTCGGATATGGTGCTGGCCTCGGATACGGTGCTGGTCTCGGATATGGCGGTCTTGCCCATGGTGGCATCGTAGCTGCCGCTCCTGCTATTTTGGCTGCCCCTGCCATTACTAAGGTCGCTGCCGCCGCCCCGGTCGTTGCCACCTCGGCTATTACTACCCGCGCTGATTCGTACACTCCCCTTATCGGTAAGACCTTTGCCCCTATCGGACTTGCTAAAATCGCCGCTGCCCCAGTTCTCGCTGCCGCCCCATATGCCGCCTACGGACACGCTCGACTCGGTCTCGGCCTTGGTCTCGGTGGACTTTATGGAGCTCACGGATGGTGAGCAGGGGAAGATGAGGTTCATTGTATCGTTTTAAATAAATTAGTCGGTGTATAACTTGAATGTCTTTTTAATGGCTATATTTAATAGATTTTCTTTAATTATATTTAATAGATATATGTAATGCAACGAGCACATGTTCCTCTCGCCATGTTATATGGGCCCATCACCATCATTTCCGACGCGATATTCAAAAAGAGTTTACTTCAAATATGGGAATATGGCAATTGATAACTTTCCTGTGAAAAGCTCTAGCTATGTATTACACGAACATTTTCTTAGGAGATCGTTTCCAAGAAAAATGCTATCGAACTAAATCACCTGATGTTAGCGGGGTGCGCAAACACAAATCCACGCTACGCTCACCAGTCCATCCATTCCGCACGCGTTTCTAAGTGGAACATTTGTTAAGCCAACAACATTTATCTTTATTTATTGGAACTACTTCTTATACTAAGAAGTAGTTCTAGTGGTTACTGTTGAAAATAAGCTATTCATCGTCAGTGTAGAAGTTACGGCTAATGATAAAGGCATTCTAAACCCACTCGAACGTTAGGGTAGGACACGTCCTATCGAAACGTCGTTGCGACTGCGAAGATCAGCCTATCGTGTCCTTGTGACATGGATTTCCGTTCTAGCCATTGGAAGGCGCGATGTGAATTAAATGGTAACAGTCAAATGGTAAGGTACGTCGTCCTGCGACAGGACGTGCAGCGACCGTGCCATTGTCAGTTATTGAAAATAGCAAATATTGGAAGCTCAACATCTATATTGTCGAAGCCAGTGATATAAAAGGGTCTTCCTTCATAATCAGGACGATGGCTGTCCGATCGAGTGTCAGAGGCGCAAACTTATTTGAAGTAGTACAGTTTACGAAGCAGTGGGTGCCGTTAGACGTCAGCTAAACTCCGAAGATATTTGTAATCGAGCACGATTGCAACTTAACTGGGCCAAGCTACTCACATGGAACTAAAGATGTCTCCTTTGCGATGGGATAAGTTATATATGTACTTTAAAATAACGAACTTAGTTAAAAGTATCCTTTTTGTTTCGACTTCCGCGTTTCGTCTTCTGGTTCCAATTTCAGAGGGAATTGGCAGTTCGGATACTGACAACGTTCTTCCCAACGTACATTACGGTTACTATTTTTTTTTATCTCATAGACCTATGTGAGGATGCTGAGCAATTAACAATCCATTTGCTGGCGTAGTACATACTTGCCTTCACTCAATGCGAACTCTACATGTTCACTTGCATATTTGGCGGTAGTTGTCGAACGTCTAACCACAAATCAGAGGACAGCAGTCACGTCAAATAGCGTCTGGGCTAGCTGAACGAGGTAAAATACATTTCTCCATTAGAAATCATTAAGCGGGAGCTCACACCTAGGAGGACAGATATTGGCGCTACTAGCAACGACAATGATCGAAACTACCTTCACGCTACCAAAGGTTTCACCCAAGCGGAAATTAATCTTCTGTGAACGGCAAGTGGTTTGACATGATAATGCATATTTATGGAGGCGCGCTATAGGATTACGAAGATGCCCCGTATGAGAGCGGTATATCTTGCTTGATTGAAACGGGGTGACAAAAAATTGTCCAATTTGAAGGAAACTCGAAGAAAGCTTGAAGTATTTTGAGTTCGACAGAGAATAGTTCTGAATGCCAGGAATATGAAACTCTAGGAACACCGCTCTCAAACAAACGGAGACAAATTGATAACTACACCCATAGCAGATTTAGAAACCCGCATTTTCGATACCGCACACAAATGATCCAGCTATCACGTGCCAGATTCAGAATACATCTCAATACGGGCTGTATCATTTTAGAACGTACAGAAGCAAGTTTATGCTTCAACATGGATGGAAACGCGATGCGGCAATGTAAGAAAGTTTACGCTCAATTTTATTTGCACCGAGCTAATGAACATGAACAGTAGAAGCCCTAGAGACGATGTTACGGTATTAAATAAATTGTATAGCTAAAATGTTGATTGTTCATAGACGTTCTTGGCCTAACAATTGCATGAATCAGCATTACTGCCTATACGCACCAATGTACAAATCAAGTTTCAGACGTACTCGCAGTGGAAACGTCAGTTCAACGCTATATTTGGCTAATAAATGGGAACAAACTTGAGGTAAAATGTGTTATAGTGAATGTGATCTTTTCTCATTCGTCAGCAGCGTCTATTTTTCGCAGTCGGACCAATAAACAAGCCACCAGTTGATACATATACTAAGATCTCTCGACACCTATCCGCCCAAGAACATGGCCTATGGGGCCAATATTGAATATGTAGAAAAATGAATTTCTTTGGAACGAGCAATTTTTTGTCGTCTTGAATGAATCTTGTATAATTTTGGCGACATGACAGACTGCTTTATCTATTTTGGTGCTAGAAAAACTGGCAATAGGTCTTCAAGAGTAATCGTTCCCAAAGATCGATTAATGAAAGCCATAAAAATCTAGGTGTTAATTATAGTTATTCTTCCGGTCCCTACCAATTGGTCGTCAACGTATCGCGTGATTGAACTGTGGCCAAGCTGATTGTATCGCTTGAGATTTCATCGAGTCGTCGTGAGCTTCGTGTTGGTTAAAGGTCCGATTTCGGGCGTGTCCTAATTGTAAATCCACACAATAGTTTGTAATCAAACAAAAAAATACTTTCCATTACTGTTTGGACTGCTCAATATAGTATCTGTATACAATATAATAGTATATATAAAGTATCTAGCAGTAAGTGAAGAGTTTCTAACGTGAATGAGGCGGTATTTACACACATTAAATAAATGTCCGTATTATCCGTATTTTAATTTATAGCCAAAATTGCTTTGTGTCTAGCTTTTAAAAGTTCACCAAACTTCATAGTGGTTCAGTTACAAATCTATGCGTAGACGCATTTCGTGGTGGGAGCCGGCCGTTTGAAGTAATGTGTAACGGACCATGTACCCTATGCAAAACACGAAAGCATGGCAAAGAGGTACTGCAAAAGCTGTATATATCAGAATTTATGATATCCATATAATACATAATTGTCATATATATATCTACAAATGAATTATATTTTAAAGTACTGTCTAGAAAAAGGCCTATTTGACCGAACCTCATATGAAGACTTACCGGTTACCAAAACAATGGCATCTACTTAATTTATTTATATTTTACACAAATTCTAGGCTGTTTCGGCGATGGGGGGGGGGGGGGGGGTAACATGTTTGTCCGCAGAACGTAAAGACACGTAGTCGTCTAAGTTTGAATTCAGGCGTGAGCAGGCCGTTCTTGTGCAGGAGGAAGCGAGTCTTCCAAAGTAATGTGTAACAGCTTATATATGCCGAACATAAAACACAAAACAATTTTTTTAGTCACGTGTTATCAAGGTGCGTTTTCTTTTGTGGCACGAATGAAGAATCTTTGCGTTACTTACGACTCTCCGCGGAAGGGACTTCATAGCTTCATGGAGACGGGACGCTGACTGGTTCAGCGAAAGGAAGTGGCACTGGAAAGTCCTCGTCCGAATCCAAGGTCAGAAAAGCTATGCTTTGAGATCCAATGAAAAGCAAAAATTTCGCGTTCGGGCGCTTTCGAATAAACCTCAAATCCAATGACCAATTTAAGGTACTTACTTCTACACTAAATAGTATCTCTGTGAAATGAAATCTACGACTGCAGTGTACACTCATTAAGCTAATACATTAAGTACGACTTTTGACTAGCATTTAGGCATTGTTCCAAACGGGAATACTTTTACGTGATGTATAGTATGTCCACTATTATGACGGTCAATTCTAGTTGGCCTGTTCACGGCAAAGGAGTGTTGTACATATCATTTACGACGATGTGGTCTATCAAAGCCATAGCAGACCGAGCTGCCGGAATCAGAGATGAGCTCATCACGGGTGCGGGCCTTCTGTCGCCTGAGCAACACGTTAACTTAGAACGGTGACTTAGGAGTACTGCATAATATCTCGCGCGACATCCGAAACAAAGCTGAAAATACACTATAATCAGTAACCGATGTATGGCGGCGCATGCGCATAAAGTTCAATTAATCTTACCCTCAATAAATGAATCGGGCTACTTTTCGACGGTAATCTTCACGGCGATATAATTTATCACCACCTGTGCCCTTTTTCAAGGCACTAGCCCTAAGCAAGCTGCGATACATATATATATATATATATAACGACATTGTAGTGTTATATTAGACTTATTAAATATTTCTAATCTTATACTTATCTGTTGTTTATTAAACGAACTATAACTATTGCTTAGAAGCAATAATGTCCACGTATATGTTGCTGATGTTCATTGGAGCATCTTACTTCTCGCAAATATAATTATTGTGCTAATAAACATACTAGTAAATTCTCAAAAGAGAAAATAGGACAGCTGTAACTCTAATTTGAGTAAAACTGCATTTCCAGGCACCATCACATTTTACGGTCACCAAAATTTCATTATCTCGAAAATACTACGAAATATGAAAAATACGAACTTACTTTTCGACATCCTTGAAAGGGCACTAAACAACACTCCTATGCTGACAGCATTAATTCGAAAAAAGTAAATCTAAGATTATTTCTACAAGTAAAACCTGGCTGGTTATTACCTAGTTCCACGTTTACGTTCTAAGCATCTAGATCATCATAAGGACTCCCTCGAGACTTTTGGCGAGCTTCAATAGCAATGATGTGTTCTCGAAGTAGAAAACGCCGGTTATTACCAACCCCTTCGGCTTTTATTAATAGGGAATAAGGGCAGGCTAAGGACAAGGATCCACATGGCCATGAACCAGGCGCGTACGCGTCCCTCACGGCTGCACTGACGTCTCGAGCTACTTATGGCGGAGAACTGATTTTCTCTCAGGCATTTGCTTCCTGAATTACACACCAGCAAATGGCCTATGCCTTTCCCTATAAAGCTCCGCGTTTCGAGGCAGTGCCATTGTGGATTATCAATACGGCTCAGATAGTTTGCTTCGTTGCAACAACTTGAGTCGTCCACCGGATGCCGATGGATGAAAGCTGTGGAGTTACGGAATCGTATGGCAGGTCGATCGGCAAAAAAGTACAACGAAGGAAATCGAGGACGTGTACAGAATCGAACGCCTGGCAGTATCGATACCGTTGCTGATTGTGTAAATAGCGTTATGATTTAGAAGACATGAAACGCTTCCTGGATGGGAAATACGCAACACAGAACCTGTACCCATGAGCCGCTACAACTTATGGAAAATTGTGACCAAAGCGTTTATTTGTCTTTGTGGCTATGAAGTAAGAGTAAAACCGGTTCCTTGTAAGTTCGATTCAGATGAATGACCCAGATGGAATGGGTTACGCGAGCCGCCCAGTCAAAGAATTTGTCTAAATAAAATAAAGCATAACAGTAAAATTAATGTTTCTATCTGGCAGGGGGTGTTATCGATTTAAGATAATATTAGAGGTAGGTATAGCAAACTAGCGTAAGACATACTAAATAAATAAGATTATTTATTTATTTAACTTTCTTCATGAACGTTTAAAAATCCAAATCATCAATCACAATATTGCTACATGGATTTCATATCCATTATATTTTCTCAGAATTGTATTTCTGAAGATAGTGCTTCAGTCCACTAAGGAGCTTGGTTGAGAAGCCATTCAGCTATACGCATTACTTGTTCAGGCACGCCTTTCTCTTTGTTGCGCGATGAGTTTTCCTAGAAAAACGAAGATTGAGTTACTACGGAAGTTATACGGAAGCTCAAGGGCCTTTGAGGAGCTTCCTAATTCTAGTTACTGAAGAAAATTGACATTTAATTCGGTGAACTTATGTACTCAATGATATTGCTCAATTAATGAGAGTTGCGAATCTCAATTTCTTTTCTATTTCCTAAGAAACTTTTCGTATACATTAGCTTTTTTCTGATATACTAGAGTTCCATCATTGTCACTTATTTAACACCATTTGTGAAATACATTAACAAATTGAATAGGGAATAATATACTGGCTTATATATATATATATATATATATGTACAGTATAATAATATATGCGAGGCGGTGTATATTGTATAAATTTACAAGCGAATCAACAAGTATACTATCCCATGAGACGCCTAAGTCAAAAGGTTGGCGTTATTAGGTTTAGTCCTATGCTTTGGCTAAAACATGTGCCATAATTAAATAAATGTTTCGATCTTCACGCCCAATGTTATTGCTCTTAAGCATTGCCTCAGAGAGGTTGGCCTTTGCCTCTGTCAAGATTTCGAGTCTAGAACACCTCGTATCAATGTCCCGAAGTTTGTGAGTGGCTCGTCACCAGCGAACCATCACATGGACGCTTCTTCCTGAATCTATGTTAGCTTCATGTTAACATCGTTTTTTTAGGATCTCGGTGATCCTTCTTGCGTATTGTAACGTCAGTTTACCCGATAAATATATCAGGCTGGTCCGTCCTGGACCATCCTAACTGACCTGTTTATTAGTTCGGGATTCGTGTGTGCTCTCATATTGAGGGGTTGTGCGCTGCGTTTCATTTGATACACTTTTAGCTCCGTCTTGACCGAATTCAGTCCTTGCCATTGGATGAGTGGCCCCCATTATACGAATCTTGTGCCTAAATATCAAATGAGATTAGAGGTTAAACGGGTCGTTGCATCCAACGGAAAATCTTGTTGGTAATTTACCTTTTTTTCTATTCGACGGTAGACGGAAAACACGGTCACGTTATCACAGCAATGGCTAATCTGTGCCATACGCCGATATAGTACTCCAGCAATATGGAATAATGTCCGTTGTTTAATATCAATGCAAGTTTTCTATTCAACTACCAAACTGTAGTCATTTGACTAGGTAGCTTACGTCTTATCCCTCAGTACACGGTCGCACGGTCTCTGTCCATACTTACATTCTATCTGAGGCACAAAAATAGACACTGATGCCAGCAGTGGGGTATTTCCTCAGGACGGGGAATGACCCTCCGTCCTAGATCAAAGGCGAGAGACTAACCATTCTATGCAACACCTTCTCGTTGAACGTAGTTAGAAAGAGAAAAAAACTTAGTGGAACGGAATTAAAATTTCTTACATATGTTGTGTGTATGTAACATGTTAAGAAATTACTTTGCCATAATTTTCTCGATGTCTTCAATATTGATAGGAGCCATGTCGTCATCGTCATCGCCATTGCTACTCTCGGTACCACTATCTGTCGCGGGCTCCCCCTGACAAAACAAAAATTATCGTACATAGGTTTTTTTTTTTACATTTACGATTTTTATGCAAATAACTCTTAGAAACTATAGTATATCTATCCGTATGTCGACCACTGGGTTTCAGTTTTTCGGATAGCTTGCCTAGCTCGAGTATTTTCCTGGCAGGTTGAACTCGTCCCATACCTCATATCCTGACCATGTTGACAATGTGCCTTAATTGGGTTACGTTAATTAGCAGCGAAAGTGAGCTTATGGAATTGGCACATCTAAAACGTATACAAATGTATGCAATCAGATGGCCGTATCGTACGTTGTCGCACAATTATATTGTATCAAAGTGTTTTTCTCGAATCTCACCTGTTGCGATGACTGAGCGTCCTTACCCTGGGCAGAATTCGCTTCGTGTGTCTCAGCTGTATCTGGCTGCAACAGAGATAAATATGTGAAAATATTAGAACTCTGCTCAATGTTAAGGCAATTAAAATGTTTTCTTTTTTTTTCAGAAAGCGCCTTCACGCCCCAGTACTTCGAAAATCTGATGACTAGAATGAACTTACGCAATTGGGTGCTAGCAGGCCACATTACTAAGACGTCTTCTCATTATATCTCCAACCCTTCGTTATAGAATGCTATGATAATTTACCAAAAATCAAATCGACTTGTGGTACATATACGCACTGCTTCTAAAACGCTCATTTTTGGGTGATGTCGTTGTGATTTGAGGTAGTCACGATTCGAAATGACCCCTGTGTAGCCCAAGATCATTCTAGCAATACATATTGCTTTTCTCTGCCTCAATTTAGCGACTAAATAATGTCAAACCGATGTTTTCTTAAGGAGTCATCGTCTAGTTTGGGGGGGGGGGGGGGGGGGCATAAGATATAAGACCCCCTATGCTGTTTATACGCCGGTCAATTCAGCTGTTTGCTGTTTTCTGTGCGTTTCGACCTCAGCGAGCAGCCAACGAGTGCGATAGAATCGGTAAGGCAAAATGGTCATGAGTCGGACAGCGTGACGAAATAACTTATTTTGATCCGCCGTCTCCAGTACCACAGCTAGGAGAACTTGAACAAACGATAATAAAGCAATCTGTATTTTTTTTTGATAAAGTATTTTTTAAAAACTTGTCAAATTTATTTGTATAACGTTCACGTTATATGTATAAAATCTGTTACTCCCGTTTCTATATATCTGTAAACATACCCTTTTCTTAAAATTTTTCATTTCACTTTGCTACTGTATAATGAAAGCGTAATTTTAGCTAGCATATATTTCGGACACTACTAGGAAGAAACCCAGCACCGTTTGCTACTATTATACATTACAAAGCGCCTTATTAAGGGTTTGATGTTTGCGCATTATCTTGATTATAGGGTAACATCAAAACTATAATTACGTATAAAGTAACCAAATATACGAAAAACTAATGCATTATTACCATATGCCATACCACTCGAAGTGGAGCGTAAAAAATTTCGATATGTAGTAATACACAACGTTTTAATAAAATTTCTCTAATCGAATTTTGGCTAACGAGGACATTTTTTTTTATAGGACAACACAGCTGATTCAAAATATTGTTCTTGCGTACAACGTGTCATATGATGTATAACAGAAATAGAAGTTGCTAATATACAAAACGAGTGGATCGTACGCATTTGGAGTGTAAGTTTTGTTGAAAAGTTGATTGTTTCTATAAGGATATAGTATTTTTTCATTTGTGCCGACGGGCGAAGCTTGCGTGTCATTTAGATCACAAAAGCAGACCTTTTACCTGGCTTTATAGGGAAAATTCTGTACCTCATGATTGTGAATGTCGATGCTTTTTGATTGCTTAATTACTTGAACATCAGTCGGAGAGCTTTTTGAAGTAACATTTGTACGGCCCTTCAGATCCTCGCTTGCAGCACCCTCAGATTTTCGAGTCTCAGAGTCGTCATATGTAACTCTACGGGGAGCACTACGCCCTGACTGTAATGGCGGCAGGCGAGATACTTCATCTCCATTCGCTGATAAAACCTCTGTAAAGGAACACATACCATATACGCACACTAGTAAAAACATATGCATGTATTAAATGGGTATTGAATATGTGATGGTACTCGTGGTTGCCTACGCAACTTCAGGACACGTGGTGGTTTACGTTCGAAAACGGGCGTAGATGCACTTCGTTTTGCGCTGGAAGCAAGCTGTACGGAGCAATACTCAATGACAGCGGGCGTAAATGAAGAAACGAACAAAGTTCATGTTCAAAGAACATGTTCAGAGCCTTTCTATGAAAGCGAAATCACAATATAATTTAATTATTAAGCTTTTTATCGTTTTGCATATCGAAATCGGCTCTTTAGTATTGCAAAAACTGTCCAAAAAAAATCTATAACACCGTATTTTAGTTCACACAAATCTTTCTCTGAACCTCTGAAATTAACTTGGTCAAAACGACTCGCGTAGTATCACCAGCGTTTGCAGTTATGTTACTCTTAACCTTTGCCGTTCGCCGTCGACGATACCCCTTTGGACCTTCAATGAGGGTGAAACGTCGTTCGGGCAAAGATTCTTTCCGTAAAATAGCACTGGCCTTAATTTACTATTGCTCAGTCAAACGTCGCCCCGCAATGATCACCCACAAATTGGGGAATTTTTTTTATGCAGCTTTTTGCAGTTCAGTTATCAGAAAGGAGCCCATAGTCTTAAAATAGACGAAATGCCGAGCTCACTACAAAACGACCAATGACAACAAGGTCCATATATAAAATATAAATACAAATAAACATTTGTGCAAACGGGGGTTGGGTAGCACCTATAAATAACTAGCACATGGCATGCATACGTGCAGCTTACCATTATTGTTCGCATCACTAGAATCGTTCTCAACAACGGCACGGAAGATTGGCGTTGAGTCGAGTATAGCTAGTTCCGAGCTAACTCCTAAAGGCCATCCAAACAATCGAGATGATTCGTCTCTCTCAAACATTGCACGTCCCTCCTACAACAGATGAGTACCAATTTTTTATTTGCCTATCGAATACACCCCACAATAGCTACTATTTAGAATAGGGAAAAAAAATTTCGCTTACACATTTTCCTCTCTAGCGCTGTATGTAACACGACTTACATGAAAGTAAGGGTAACACAATTTATCAGTAAAGATAGGTATTATATGAATAGTAAGCAATAAGCTGTTCTTGAGAAAAGAAAACCTCCGGGTTAGTCCCTGTGAATTGTTTCTGTCAACAGGTTGAGTCTGCGTATGGTTGCTCCTAACGAACTTTTTTATGTGAGCGTCTCTGTTCTTATAACAACGTAAGCGAGAACATAATTCTTCGGCGTTACTTGGAATACTTTTAGTGCTTACTTTTCATTGCACCATTTTCTTGACAACACGATTCAACACCTTTGCAGTGAACAGCCTGTGCCTCTCAAGGAATGCCTAAAATTTCTAGCGTAATGTCCTAGCTGCAACAGAACGTCACATTATGACAACGACTCGTGCCTCTCGTTGAAGGCCAATATATAAACAAGACGAGAACGCTTTTATAGCTTCTTCCGTGTTGCTCACAAAAGCAACCAAAGTCATCCCTTAAAACGAACTAGTTTTACAAGGGAAACGCGAACACGAGAAGACACGTCCCAAAAAATGTTCGCATATCGTCAGGATCAAGTTGTTTGTAACCTCGTTCCTTGAAAATACTTCTGAACGTTATACTTCTTCAGCTGGATTTCAAGTTAGCGTATATTAGTTTGGTCAGCTTTCATCACCCTACGGGGCTGAATATATTCACCCAAGAATAGACGTTGCGCATAAACACCCGGTACACAGTGTAATTTAATGGGTTACAACAGACATATACTATAGAAAATAAGCTTAGATCGATATCGGTAAAAGTCGGGTTTGATTTAGGAAGTAGGAGCCGGCCGCGGCAATGATTGACAATCAACTTTTTTCCGGTACCCCAATGAATTTTGTGAAACAGATTCTTTTTCGCCGACATTAACATCTGAGATAAACTTCTGAAAATGCACCTACTATTGCCGTAGTTGTAAGACAAGTACGCCAAAGCGTTATCTTTTAGGCGTGTGGCCATGCTGCATTTACGATGTTAGATAGGTGGGGTAACGCGCGAAAAGCTCAACTAACAAATGTAAAATGTCGTTCAACAGTATTCTGTGGTTAATGTTTTTTGCTCTATTTATGGAATTAGTGTGCTTGTACAAGCTACCAATTGTACCAGGATTGCTTGTTTAAGCGGGTTGCATGAATACAAGTGGGGTGCGTTGCAGGTTTTAGTGAATCCAGTCAAGTTATACACGCCGTTTGTACCAATCGAAATGAAACCAAGACTAGTTGAAGGCCCAGAAAGGCCAACCGAATTGAGACACTGATATGACTGCTCGGAAATGTTCCACAATAGATCGAATAAATCGTACCGACCTAGGCCGTATTCGCCTGTATACTACTGTCGCTGTCTCAAGAATGACTTTGAAACTTCGCCGGTTATTATAGTGACCTGAAGGCAAACCTGTACTAGTGACTTCGCTTTGGCCGATGATGTTCTCAATTACGTTTTGAAAAGACATGTCCTCAGATAAGCCAACACAATGCAAAGTTGAAAAAGCTAATTTAAACTGGGTTCCCAGACAACATGTAAAACTAGTTTGCGTTCGAGAGCTGGGGTAGTTATGAAGATTCCGAGCAGTCTAATTAGGCTGACCAGCTATTCAGTTCTGTCGTAAAGAATGACCAGGTTAGCCAGTAAATACGATCGGACTTACAGTTGCCTAAACGACGGTACGCTTTTAACTAAATTAAAAGCATTTTTATATAGTATTAAGCGATCGATTTAGTATCCTAGGTGTACCTCGCCAGCGTAGACTCTCCGGACGAGCACGTAATGTCGGGCTTCTAACTCAGGTAGGGAGCATATGGCAAATACGATCACCACAACGAACCGGGACCCAATTTTCAAGCAGGACGAGCACATTGTCGCCATCTACCTTGAACACCCACGTACACTTAGTCACCTAAAAGATCGCGAATGCTTGGAGGTATCTTCTGTTTTCGCTAAATGATAAACCCTTCTAGTTAACCTGAACTGTTCGCTAGCATTTGCCGAATGTCCTATTCATTCAGTAACAACATTTTAAATGTCTCAGTTGTTTTTTGAACCTCCGCCACTTAGGGTTAACTATGCAGTTAGTGGAAATGCCATCCTTGGCCATCTTGAGAGATAACAAACTCAATGAGCTATCCTAAGTTCGCTGAGTACAGCCATTATCCCGATGACGTACTATTGCCGCACATGGTTATTTTGTAAATCATTTTTGTTACGGCCACTTACGCTCTGTAACGTGTTCACGTTACCTTTAAAGTGTATGTTTTTGTTTTTTTTTCTCAAACGCTGTCGCACATTGACCTTCGTTTTCCACAACAATTTCACCAAGACAAAGTAAAGGCATTCGACATTAAACACTATAATATTATTGACACATCTGCGAGCACTCCATATATATATATATATATATATACGCATATAAATGACGAAAAAATCTTTCGTCAAGCCAGCTACTTTTTTCCTCTAGACTATTGTTACTATGGTTACCCTTGCTATTATTACGAGATGGTCAACAGCGTATCCGTTTGTCACTAGCCAGAAGTATTACCACAACGGTGGTAACAAGAGACAACCGGGTTGTTTACCAATGAACAGACAACTGTCTATTGCTGCTGCGTGGGGTCAGTATAAGTTTTTCTTTATCTTGATCCTTCAATTGTAGCCGAACGGAGCGATCCTTGGAGCTGCACATGCAGCTGCGCGATGCACTACACCGGGTCGGCTGCACGCCAGCATTTGCGAGGGGGAACAATGTAAAGCCCTCAGGCTGGGAAATGGCACGCCCGAGAGAAGAAATTTCATTGTTGCCCCACGCGATCGGAGCCAACCAAACGGTTCGCCTGCCTGTGAGTTACCTGTTGCTCTTGCTATTTCATCACGACAATCAAATTGGGCAGCTGAGGTGGTGCCCGCGCGGTGTGGTCTGGTCCGTGTGGGGTGGACGAACAATCCGCTCATTACCGGAGCGCTCCCAGCCCCGGCGACTACGCCTTGCAACCATTTCAGGTGAGAAATCCTAAACATTTCTCGCTGAGCACTGACCACCTGTGACGGTGTGTGAGATTCCCATAAGACGCCAAAAAAAAAGACAAGCTATTATTGTTGGCGCTGCGCACGGTCAAAGACCTCTACAAGGGAAAAGAACGGAAAATGCACGGCTATCTCACACTCATTTTTGTGTTATGTCTATAGAAGAATATGGAAGCGAGGCGGGAAATGAGGCACAACCTTGTGACTATTTGAAGACTTATAGATCATTTCGGTCGGTGGATTCGTCTACGAGTGTAATCAAGCTATATAGCTAACACGAATTGTTTTCTGGTTTTAGCAATTTTTCTTAGTTGACAATAGAGTTTTACATATTTACTTTCCTCGACACGATAGGTCTATAGATCTAGAAAGATAATCAAAATCTTTTGCTTCAAGAAAGAAATAAAGATGATAGGAGTAAAATATCTTGTGGTGATATTATCGAAAATGCACATTGAATCCTGAGCAGCGCATCTTTAAACGTTTGATAATTTTCATCTTGTTTGAATGTAATTGTAAACTGAATCACTTAGAGTCTGTTACATCTATAATACATTGTGTATGCAACGCAGATAAAAACCAGAAGTGTAGAAGAAGACCTACCTTACGTTGGTATATCGAAGATCAGCTATTGTCTTGTGCTGTACATATATCTGTTCATCTGAGGAAGAGCCGTCGGCAATTATTTGTGTCTCCTCTGCCGCACACTTACAATAGTAGAGCGAATGACAAAGCCTATAGTTAATATTTGCTTCGTACGGCTTCTTGCGAAGACGATAACACGTTTACACTCACCGCTGGACGTTTTCAGCTGACGTCAGAGAACAGCAGTTTCCGCTTGAACGAATCCATCACCATCGTGAGTGGATGACCTGCATGTACATCATTATTCTTGGGTAGAAAAAGAAGCCTCTCTCAGTTTTGTGTACGAAGAATGAGCTAAGTGTCTGAGAGGTCGTGTAAAGATTTTCTTGAGGTTCTTTTATTTCGTGGAAAGAATCCAGTGCGTTCTTTCCAAGCGTGTTCCTGAGACAGAAAACCCATCCTCAATTACGCCCTTTGTATTTTGTTAATGTTGCATTGAAAACACTGTTTTATTTGTTTTTTTCAAGCAACGCACCAGCCTTTTTTACGATTAAACCAATCTGTCTTTTAATTTCACTCATTGTTAGATGAGAGAACATTTTTCGTATAGTATATATGTTTGTAAAAAAAAAATGTCTTCTATCCTACGTCTGAAAAACATGGAATGTTTCATACGTTTTTATAGAGCGTACGGTGTAAGGAACGAGAGAAATTAGAGAAAATTACTACTAAATGTAACTGCTAGGTAACTTGTTAGGTATAGACCGCCTAGGAATAGGAAAGAAGGAAAAACGCTTGATATCTTAGCAATTCCTTTACGATTCTGTGCATATCTCTCGAATACGATTCTGTTCATTTGCTGAATGTTTACTGCAATGTATTTCTTAAGGACACACATATATATATGTATATATACACTAAGCGCAAGAAAATTCAGTTTGAGCTTGTTTGCCAAACAAAGATACGTCAAATGTTTCTGATATCTACCAAATAGCTACATCATTCACAAAGTTATCAGGCTATAATAGAATACTTGTAAATTGTCTTTTTCTTTTCGACTTGACATTTTTTTGAGTGTTTTTTCAGGACACGTTTTCGGAAGCTCTAATAAAACGCAATTGGAAGGATATTTCTGGCCCGACCTAGACCTTCCTACTTGTCACAAACAATAAAGCGCCCAATTTACAAACTAAATAACAACTTGTCTGTGCGGCACTTTTCAAATCATTTCACCCTTCGCTGTTTTACTGAGGTCTAGCGTTAGTAACAATATTATCGCAACGGAACAATTATTGCTTGAATATATATTTTACCGACCTGTATTCCCTTGATGAGTTAGCCTCTGAGGGCTGCTGAACGCTGTCAACGTAGCCATGCTCGACTGTATTTACAATATAAAAATCAATGAACAAATGAATCAACTGAAAAATCAGTATTTTTCTTCAATTGTTCACTACGAATAAAGGTCGATATCACGCAGTCTGTGCAATAAATAAAAATAAAATAGGGAACAAGCGAAACATTATAGTGATAAGAAAGAAAGAATACGTTTGTATAATACCCGGTGTTGTTCTTGCTCGTCATCGTCCACGACAGGTCGTATTGTCTACCAAAAACAAATGAGAAAACAGATAGACGAGATAAACTGACGTCGTTGGCTTCTTGTCGTTAATAGCTATCGTCACGACTTTCCCTTAGAAGCTGAACAACATTCGCATTAAGGGTCAGACTGTGACAGAGGTTCGTGTAACGATCAAAGCGTAGTTTTATTGTTAGCGGCTTTCGATAATCGATTTTTTTTCCCGACTGCTTTTCAACGGAGACCCAAACCGTAAACGGGTGCGCCCTTAGTCGTTCATTGATAAGCGCACTGCTGAGTCGCCTTCGGTCAACTATATTTCGTTCGGGCATTTCCCTGTGGATTCCGTCGAAGTACGCTGAACTAGGAAAAGTCTTAGTAGAATGAAGATCGTCAATAGCTACTCGGTGATTGTTCCAACTAAAGTGGAAGGCCACAATTTAACTTCTTAAGTGGCATTCAACTTAGTTAGATCTCGAATCGAAAACACAGTTTCGAGTTGTCTAATATACATGTTATAGCTCAAGAAAAAAGGCGTTTCGTAAGAAAAAACACTATTCATTTAAAAATCGATTTGAAAAAATAATGAAATCATATTATTGTTCGCGTACACAAGGATATAAACATGCAACGATTTCCTCTGTGAGCTCTTCATATTTACTCAGAACTTAGAAAACAAAATAGACTATATATTAGTGTATATTAAAAGTACTTTGATCTTTTCAACACTTTGAGTAGGTTTATGTTTAATCGGACCTATAAGAATATGGTGACTGAATAATTTTTGTGATACCCGTTCGCTTTTTGTCAAATTAATATCCAGCAGTAATATTCAACGTTTCGTCCCCAGTAATATATTCTATACGTGGAATATTTTTATCACAGTTTCTCCTGCTTAGCCTTAAACGAATCATGCGTCTTCAATTAACTGGAAAAAAGCTTGATTTGCAATATATTTATTTATTTATTTATTTATTTATTTGCAAAAAACGGAGCCACAGAATTGTTCCTTTGCCGGAAACATCTAGCGAAATTCATCCACGTCCAGCTCTCCAGCAGAGATGGATTCTGAAGTTCAAAGACAGAGTCGAAGTAGTTGTTCGCAATTTTGTTGATGAAGAACTTCACAACGAGAGCGCTTCGGTATAAAATCGGTAAAAATAGAAGATAAGGAAGGCAGCGCTCATTGACCAATTCATTGCTTATAGCGTCTGTGGAACTCTCGCAACAACAGTTTATAAATATAAGTTGTCTTCTTCTTCTTCTTCTTCTTAGCTTGCAGCTGAAAACCGCCACAAGCAATTCATACGACAACTAACTTTTCTTGAAAGGCACGAAGTATGACCGGTAAAATCATGCGCCAATAGTGTGATCGTCTCTGAAAAATCCATATTCACGAAGGTTTCACCAGCTATTTACATGCGATTTTATTCAAGAAGTTACCAGGCAAGTTCGACCGTCGAATTAAATTCACTTTTTTTTTCCGTTAAGTTAATAACAGTAGTGCAAGAAGGCTCGAACCTTTGGCACGTGCGTAATTAAACAATTAAATAAGTTAGACGCACGTTTAACGGTTCATCACTGTCCGAGGTAAAGTTCACCGCCTTGACCTGACAGCCGCTCCACACAATGGACACAATTAGCGAGATAAATTACACCTAGGGTAGCCATCACTCCTCGGGCATCGAATCCAGGCCAGTTACGTTGTTGGCTCGAGGTACCTTTGGGTGCATAAGACCGATGAAGAACTGACGACGTTACAGCCATGACGAATCACGCGAACGTGACTGGTATCTGCTTTGCAAGACTTCGCCGGAAAAAACGCGTGATCCTGCCACGATGCGCAAAAACAGGGCGAAATCGATTGCGGTATTGGCTGATATTGCCATAGCGAATTAGAGCCCTGAGTATCTAAGGAAGATGTAGCGGCCTCGTCTACGGACCAGTATGGCGTTTGGCCAATTTGCTTCTAGTCGTCGTCGTACTAAGTAATACATTATTCGATAGATGAGAACTTAACTGTTGTAAGCCAGCAACGAACTTCAGCGTCTATGACTCTATATATAATTAAGATGAATGGTTACAATTCGTTTCCCACTTTTCATCAACTTGCTGGGAGCGCCGCAAGACCGTACGAACCCCGAAACCGCATGGGGAGATGCTGGCACAGATTGAGGTTTCTAGGAGGCATAGTTTAAATGGTAAGCAAACTGAATTCACGGTATTTTCGCTGAAAGGTCTCCGTTATAGTCGAATCGTTACCAATCAGAAGTAATGGGACAGGCTGTTGCCGTAAGGTCGTAGTTATAAAAATGAAGCTTTTGAGTTTGGCTGAAATTCGATTGGGAGCTAAATTCGAACGCATGCATGTTCGTCCAACACAAATAAAGCAACCTGTCTGTATATCAAACAGGGAGTTATCGACGCGTGCTTTGAATACTGGAACCACTTTTTAGGCTTCTACCGAATGAAAAATATTGTCCTACAATTCTGTAGGTGATACTTATAGCCGAATCTAGGGCAGAAGTGTTCCACGGGCGGCTATAACTCCTCCACTTAAAACACTTTTGGAAATAGCAAAAATACATGGAATGTACTGAAAATGATAGTCGGCCTGTGCGATTCTTCTACTGTAGTATATTCTACACGTCTTCGTTTACGGAGCCGCCAGAAGACGGCGCAAAAATCAAGTACTAACATTGTGTGCTCCCACGATCAGATGGTGCGGTATTGCTTAACAGGACCAGGGCACTACGGGCCTGTTGTGACAAGCAATTTGCCCGCGTTGATGGAACGCAATGGTATCGGAAAGTTTTCTCTTGCTTAAGCCACAGTTCTATAACATATTATTTCAGCTGGCCGTTTAGTCGGATAGGCATTCGTTTACTATTGTATAGCACCTATGAAATCTTCTAGGAATCACTGTCGACTATCAAACATCTTCAGATGAGCTTCATTTTCAAGCGGTTATATTCAGGTCTACTTTCTACCCGAACTGAATGAAGTACGAATTAAGGGTGTATTATTTATGCTTTTTTTTTTTTTATTTGAGAGGCAATTTATAACAATACGTTTGTTAAACACGATATCTAATATACATGCGGCGTATGGATAAATTGCTTTCACGGACTCGAGATGCGCCCATTATTGGGCCTCTTGGGATTTGATACAATATCGTTACAAGCATCCTAGAGTGCCTTCTAATGCAATGGACACTCAAAAATTTGTTTCGGCAAGGGCATTTAATACTTTTGTATAGTTAAGTAATAAGTCTGCCTGTAGAAGCTCAATCAGAGCGCTAGAAAGCTTCGAACGAAACGATTCGAGACGTTTAGCGCTCAGACTAAGAGTTCCAATGAAAGAAGTTTGAACATTTTGTTCTCCGAAAAGGGTAGTGTTCTGTATTTCAAAGGCAACACCCGTACTGTTGTTGCCTGCAGTCTGTTTGAGCTCTAACAGCACTGAATTTTCGGAAAATGCGCTCGTTATAACTAGCGGATGCACCGCCGGGATGAAGACATCTCCTTGTACCTTTTCGAATCGAAACACAAATTGCCAGATCCAATTGAAACATTAGAACCTTCATAATGTACAACTGCTCGGTGAACTTTTGTTAAGAACCTAAAAAACTACCTATCTATAATCGCTTATTCATAATTGGTCGGGATTGAAGGCGACCGCTAAGATATTGTTTGTCCAGCGTCGAGCGAACAATAGAGTCTAGATGCTTAAAAATATTCATTATTTTAGAAAAAGACGCTACGAAGATATCGACTACGCCGAAGGAGCTGTAGGTTTTAACGAAGTAGACGCCAATATAGTACCGTATTGCAGTAACTTCGGCAATACCTTCGGATGGTCGCCGAAGCCTTAGGGTGGCCGAAATAACCTTACCTCCGCTTTGAGCTTTACGTGCACGTTCTTCATTTCAAGTTTGCATTCGATCAGGTCTGTTTTTTCGTTAAGCATACAATCGCCAAGACGAGTCATGCGACTAAGTCCAGCGGCTGATCCAGTGCTGAAATCTGCATGGAAGTTCGCGTTGCTCCAACCTAAAGGAAACAATTACGTTCGGTATCGTTTTGTACCATATAAATCGTCGAAGGCGAGAGCGTCTGTAGTCATACTATAAAATATATTATGCATTTTTGCATATGTTCTTTTCGTATACATTATAACTATAACCTAGCTCATTGGACATCTTTATCTCATCAAATTATTACTGTTACCAATATTTTGTTTAGGAGACTAGGCATGGAACAGGATACTAGACACACAACGCGAATTAAACGCAATATGTACTGGCATATATTAATCGGAAACTGAAACTGGCTGAAGGCCAAGAAACAAACAATAGCTCACGATAAATGAAGTTGCCATATTATGGACGGACAGAGTTCTTAACGGACGTGACGGAGCGCACTATACCAAATACGTTTGTGCATTGTCGCAATGTTCAAGTGCTTATTTTTTTTTCCGATTTCTGAATATTAAATTAATGGCAATAATTAACTAAGAAAGCCGTACACAGTTTGTCTGCAGTTAGCAATGACAACGTTACTGAAACAATTCAGAACCTTTCAAAGTTCCTTTGACCTACTGTCTGAGGGTACGACGACCTTGAATGCCTTGACTTGCATGGGATCGAGACCTGATGCATTTTTCGCTTTAACAAGAAGCGGATCCAACCAGTTGTTTGCTGCTCCAGGTCCCCAAAGTGTCGCTGGCATCAAAACTTCTGGCGGGGCTGTGGCAACCGAAACATCATTTTCAGGGGTCGCTTCCTTTGTGATCACCGCAGGCGCGATGATGACGAGCAGCACAACGGCAGACGTACGCACAGCAGCGTGTGATAACGCCATGACGGCGTCCAATTCGAGCACCAATCCGTGTCCGAGTAAAGACCGGTTGACTCTCAGTGCCACAAAGCTAAATCAGAAAAGTAAGAAGAGTTAGAGTCACAGTTGATCCTGGCCACTGGTTATGACTGACACGCACGTTTGGATAGTGTATCTGCGTGGGGATGTAGGCACCGCACAGATCGTTACTGCAACTGCCTACTGGATGACGACTGCAGGGAAGTGGAAAGATTTTGGGAAAGATTAAACATTAACGCTCATCGAAGCGAAGCTTTACGGCTATATTTTGGCGCATCATATGCCAGCTCTCTGAAGCAGCGAACAATGATGACATTAAACAGACACTAGTTAACAACGTAACTAAATACAACCCTAGAAAAATCCCGATCCTGACAGATACTGTTCCAGCCGGCACACGATAGTTCTGTAGCATCTGCGTTTCGAGATAGTCGATGACTCAGTTCGCTCGTACTATGGTAAAGCTAGGATAGACCTATGTCTGCTTGAACCAACAGACTAAAAAAATACTGCTTGATATTTTTAATATAATCGTATGTGTATACAATTATAAAAATATAGGGAATGCTGGCGTCGTCATAACAATGACCAAAGACGACAGCGGCGTTACAGATATAGATATATACCAACTGAAATAAAACAGACAGGTGAATCTAAGTCTACTTGTTGGGGCGCTTCGTTTAACGCTCAAAAGTGTTGAACGCGACGCTTTTGACTAACAATAAGCCCTCGCGTATCGTTATTGTTATCGGCCCTTACCAGTTCTGATTCGCTTAAACTCAGCTCATAATTCAGCACGGATTTCGTTAGACTTTTCTCAGCAGATAGAATGCCGGAGTATACGCCATATTTCGTTCGACCTTATCAACTACCACCCACATGACAGCGGTTGATGACTTTTCGTGTTGGTTAATATGCTTTATATGTTTCGTAGAAGGCCAGATGGCCAGGTCACTGATTCGTCCGCGGGTTCAGTCTTACGGTAATGGTAAGTAAGAATCTACCGAACGACCATCCGGTTTTCCAGCTGTGAACAGAGACAAATTATTACCACGCTAGCTATGGTAGCATTGCAATAGCTCGTCGTTTGTTGCCTTTAAGGATCGTCGCTCCTCTCTCAAAGTGACGACACCTTTTAGCAAAGCCATTTAAAAAACAGCTATAAAAACAACGGAAATGGGGTAATGATCACTAATCGTCTAATCACTTTCTAACTGAATAGGTATTCGGCTCACAGTCGATATTTGTGGTAGATTTATAGGCAAATAAATAAACAGAAGTTTCCTTCTTATATATTGAGTCTCTGACTATATTTGCAACTGACCTTCCAGAAACACAAAGCCTTGCATGCTACATTCCTTATTCAAATCCGTAAAGACATTACTATATTGTATTTAATATAAAAAAACAAAACAAAAAAGAAGCTATTTTTATTTAAGAGTTACATAAGAAGAAGAATTTTAAACTCTGAACTTATATTTATCGTGAATTCAACAATGATACATTTTCCTAATTACCAAGAATTACGAATTTTTTTTTTCGGTTTTCAGTGAGCAATAAGTCAGACACCGGTTTACACTAAAACAAAAAACATCATCCGAACGCGCCAAAATAAGCATTAGGATACACGGATCATCACGGAAATTTACAGGTGAATTTTCGCACATGAATCCATTATGGAAAGCTTGGTTATATCATTGAGTTTCAACCGCTGCTGCTCAGCATCCCTCTTTCAACAATAACAATCAACACTTCGGGCCTCTGCCATTCGGCTTTAACATTAATTCAACGGTTGGCATTCGTTCATAGCTGAATGATAGCATCGAGTATATACATCTATACTGAAGTAAAGATATAAATACAGAAGAAATAGCTAGTTCAGACGGCTCCGTCACAACATCAACCAGCTAATGAGGTTATATGAGGCAAAGGGTAATCAGAACGACTGTTGATACCTTGAAAATTGGCGTCAGTTGGTCCACCGAGCGCTTCTCTAACTTGTGGGATGAAGAGGGCTATACGTTTTCCAAAAATCAGCTAGTTAGCGTAACTGGCTCGAAAGGTTAAGTGATATGGCTAGCGCTATATGGGCCATTAATTGATTTATTCGTAGAAATTTGTTCTCAAAGGGTTCTGATAGTGGCCAAAGAAGGAATGCTTCATGATAATTCAGTGTCAATCTAGCTAAGCCAAAGATTATGGTTCAACTATCCTAAGCGTTTACGCAGTTCTGCTATGAACGTCGGACAAGGTTTTGTTAATATGTCCTAATTCGAGCCCATATATTCCAGCAGTTGTATTTTGTTTGAGAGATAGGAGGAAACTGCGTATCGTTTTCCAGGGCAAAATTAGCCACACTGAAGCCTTAGTAATGCCCTTTAAGTATCTATGATTCCGATCTAACTATAAATGGTTAATCATAACCCAAGATGAAGTAAAGATCTATGCCAATTCACCCGTCAACATCTTTTTTTCAGTATTTAAAAACAATCGCACTTTATTGATAACAAAAACAGGTGGCACAACCGCTACAAAAATATGGAAAGCCTTGTCGCCTACCTTTACTGGATGGCAACACGTTATTTAATTTTACATGAACCTGCATATATATTTATACGCAAACTTATATCCCGAAAGTTGGTTCACTAAATTACCAGCAGGCGGTGTTTTTCGAATACAAATGAACTTGTTCTTAGAATTCATTTTTAAGGTGCAGCTCTGAAGCAGACACTTTTTTAAAAAAACATTTGCACTCTGCTTCGTTGCGGTTTACCACCCATTTAACCCTCGTATGGCTTCTCACAATTTATGAGAACATCCTTTTAGCAGCTACCTTGAAAAATTTGATCGGAAAAGTGAAACCAGTGACTCGAATGCTGCTATTGAAAAGTGCAATGTTTTTTTTTGCTAGGAAAAATAAAGCTCGTGGCCGCTTAATCTACGGAAACTCAATACGAATGCTGAACTAAACAAGGTTTCTTTGTACAACGAGCTCCATTTAATGCGTTAGAAAATTGTGTAGGGCTAAATAGAGGTCGGAAGAATAAGAGAGACTCCAACTAGAAAACTCTAGGGTATTCAGTTTACGATAGCTCCAGCTACAAACCTAGACTGCCGCTAATTGTCGTTTATACATTTTTTTTTTATTTTTAAGGTTATTGCCCTTTTTATATAGAAGTTGAACGCTGTCAGCAGATAAGAAGGAAGTAAAATAGAATTTCTGCGTGCGATTGAAAGCTGTGCGTCTTTATCAATCAAAACGACACCGTTCAAGTTTCCCAAATTGGATATCATTCATCCACTTACTGCGCAGGACTCGTGTGAATGATTAGACGGTAGGGTTACAATGATTAGCTGTTTTGTGCGTACACAACAATTATACCCAGAAAAACGTGTTTGCAAATCGTTTTTGTCCAAAATATTTTAAGATCATAATAAAACTGAACGTATTTAATATATAATAAATGTACATTTTCGGTACAGTGCGTACAAATACCTGTGTTAGCACATTACTGTCTGGAAAGCAAAGCATAAATAAATCTATGTATAAATAAATCTAAGTATAAATAAATCTAGGTAAATCATCAAAGTATTAACAAATTTTTGCTTCTACAGTTTTGGCTTACAGGTATGGAAAAAGCTTTTTTAAATGGGTTGTAAGCGAAAACTTGATGCGAAAATCGTTAGTAAGTTAGTTAGGCAAACGCAATTACATTCTGATCGTCACGAATTTGTCGAGCGGTGTCATGGGTAATATAAATGAGGTGTATGTTGTATAACATAAAAAATGCTCCAAATCTTGCTCACTAGGCAGAATTACGTATATCTAGATTTTGTTACGAGAGCCAGATTTATGAAATTTACTCTAAAATTTAAGGACTTAGTGAGTTTAGTACTTTTTTTTTTTTTTTTTTTTATCTACAGTCATCCTATAGTATTTCCTAATCCTGTAGAGAATCATTCCAGTCACAGGGCAATGTTCACTTGTGGGAAAAACAAAAACTATATTTAGGGTCCCGTTGCAACATAAATGATGATAATAATCAATCGCAAAAATCAGAGAAATAGATAATATGAGACTGATTTTAATGTTACTAATATGAAAACCTGTGCTTAATCAGACGAGGAACTGTAACACACAAATAAGAACTAAGGAACTGTTTATTATAAGGTATGAGAATCTCAATAAATCTTATTTTAGGTGAGCGCGTTCGGGTTCTTGGCTGACGGAAGGCAGACGTCGTTTATTTAAACTGTTTCGAGTGGTGGAATGGTACTACCTATGTAATTATTTAGCGCGTGTTCACTATGAACATTCGCGTCAGGCCATGATGGGACTAGAAAACATGGCAAGAACGCATTAAAGGAATAAGGTAAACACTGAATGCAATTGATTTAGGCCCTATGAAATTTCGCACACTTTGTATAAAGCGACTTCGGTATTTCTTAGAATATTATGATTAATACGACTAAAGTAGAAGGCAGTACTTTTCCAAAGACCGCAGAAAATAATTTTCCACCTGAAAAAGGAACAGAACAATTGAACCACCAATTTTTTTGTCAAAATGAGTCAAAAAAATTCTTCCTTATCTTACATTTGGAACGGATTGTTGTTAGTGATAACAGAGTCTACGAGCTGCTCCAAGCTTGAATTCTAGAGCAAACCAGATTTACTCTCGTGCTTACTTGTTAATTGATACATATTATTCCTCGGCCGACTTTTTATGGGAAATGCGTCACAATTTCCGAGTCGGAAATTTCTTTGGGCGCTAATACCGAATCGCAAAGTGCCTATGTTTAATTTCGCAGTCACGCAGTCTCTTTATCTGTGTCATGTTCTTTTACCTGCGGAAATTTTCAAAAGAAAAGCATCAACGAAATTCGTTTGTACGCATCTTCAGATATGAGCACGAGTCTTTTTGTAGGATATTATCCTCGTTGCTGCCTCGGCCATTATTTGGACATATAGAGCTTCGGAAAGCAAGTGTGGAAGCGAGTGGGTTTACAGGCGTTCTTACCTCCTATTCGATCTTGGCTTGTTTCTTTTGGGGATGGACGATGCGAACATTATAGACAAACAGGTTTCCACCCGAAGGAATACCTGGCGACGTAAAACCTAGCACATTCAAACAGAATAATTACAAACAGTTATTTAGGGTTTAATTATTCAAGAAAAAACATAGGCGAAAAGTGCGCTAAATTTGCTCACAATTCAAGAATAAAGCGTCTTGCACCTTTAAGATGGAATTCTCGCATGTCTTAGTAAAACGCAATCCAAGGTAATTCGTGGTTATTTAAGTTCGCACTTCCTTTAAGTTTCGCTCTACATGAAAAGTGTATAATACTGGAAATTATTGGACGTCACCTAATAACTCTAAATGCATTTCAAATCTAGCAGAGTAAAGTTATCGACCTGTCATGCGTAAGCTTTTTTATCTGTTGGGAGCAACTTAACTGTCTGAACATTTCAGTCCCACATACTTGTCAACGTCCTACAACACGCTATTCTTTGGGTATTGAACCCAAAGAAATAAACGACCAGGTTTTCGATGTAGAATTTCTGAAGGAATACTTGGCGACGTAAAACCTAGCACATTCAAACAGAATAATTACAAACAGTTATTTAGGGTTTAATTATTCAAGAAAAAACATAGGCGAAAAGTGCGCTAAATTTGCTCACAATTCAAGAATAAAGCGTCTTGCACCTTTAAGATGGAATTCTCGCATGTCTTAGTAAAACGCAATCCAAGGTAATTCGTGGTTATTTAAGTTCGCACTTCCTTTAAGTTTCGCTCTACATGAAAAGTGTATAATACTGGAAATTATTGGACGTCACCTAATAACTCTAAATGCATTTCAAATCTAGCAGAGTAAAGTTATCGACCTGTCATGCGTAAGCTTTTTTATCTGTTGGGAGCAACTTAACTGTCTGAACATTTCAGTCCCACATACTTGTCAACGTCCTACAACACGCTATTCTTTGGGTATTGAACCCAAAGAAATAAACGACCAGGTTTTCGATGTAGAATTTCTGAAAACATACTGGGGACAGCTTGCAAAATTTATTGTGCAATTCATCTTTGGGAATGATTGTTTTTAAGAATTCCTTTGGCTCAAACCACGATCAGCTAAAAAGCTCAGAAGGCCAAAGGCTCAGCTCAAGAAGCAGCAATCATAATAACTGCTTCAGGCGCCTACTGCACATCAGAATGATATTTGGGATATATCTGCCGACACTAGCGGATATAAAAACTAAAAACAGCATTTTTCAGGTAATTGGTGTGGCCAAAGAATTTTTTGTGTAGTTTAGATTTGTTAAAGTATACTAACTATACTGTCCTGATACAACCACTAGTAGTAAGGATTCATTCAATCCATTATGCGAGAGCAGCTCTGACATTGAATATTGTTTACATGAATTTAGTTTTACAAGAATGTTCTTTTGTACATTTTTTGCTTGCATCTCATATCCGCTCCTCATCCTTCTTAGGCTCAATACCGCATCATTTTGAGCCCGTTTGAGCTGCTTCGAGCAACTCCATCTTCCCTTTGTCCTAGTAGTAAAAACAATACGGTCTGTACAGTGGCAGTCCGTCGCACAATCTTGTTGTCAGACCACCACAAAGCGAAACGGGTGGTCCCTCTTTACCACTCCTCGATCCATGTGATCCCCGCCCACTTGACGTCATTTGACATTCCGCCGACCCGGAAACCTATCGCCAGCAAACCCGGCAAAGGTTAAAATAGCCGCCCTTCGGATCAACTCTCATCAAGCAACCAAACAGATGATATGGTGGTTTCCTGGCCGCACCTGATAAAGGCCCCTTTTTCCCTTTTTTCTCCTTATTCCCGCTCCCCATCGCACTCCATTTCTCCTGAAGCATCCTGAAGCAAGTTGTTGTCGACGGCGACAGCGAACAGCAGCGGCTGTTTGATCGGCAGCATGTTCCCTTCCTTGATACAAATAGATCCTCTTCGAACTCCTCCTTCTGTCGGCTTCCCGATCTCTGCTGATTCTGATCCGGTCTATTCGGCTGTAGAGGTAAGCGGACGCCGATCCCTGAGGAGAGTGGCGGATTACGAATCCATTAGGCTTAGTCTTTCAATCTGCCGCAGATCTCTTGTACTACCTATAATATCTCTATAAAAGATACAAGTACCTGTTGTCGGCTTGCCGCTGCCATTCTGTAGAATTCCTGCCTCTATCTCTACCAAGTTAATGTTGCCCCCAATGCTGCTGTGACGACTGGTCGAATGTCGATTTATGCTCTTTACTTTTGTCCCACTATTAGCCTTTGCGTTCGCTATTATAATTCTGTACGTTGTCGCTTTTAGACGAATAGCAGTAGGGTCTATGGTGTCTGCCGATCGAAGTATTACCGGCACTTTAAGCTTGCAACCTGTGCGGCGCGTAACTCCCAGCTAAAATCATCTCTCCCGATCCGTTTTTACCCTATCTCAACGTTTGCGTTTCTAGAACTGCCCAGCAGCAAGCCGACTTGTTCCCTAAATGACCGAGAACATAGAGAATACCAACAGAGAATAAAAGAGCAAGGCTGAAAATAGTTGGCCAAATGAAGATATATCAGTATCTTCAAAGTGGCACAGAGCGGCAAAGGTAGAGGTCAACTGACATATAGCAATTCTGAGTTTCACCTCCGATACTAACGCTAACCACTATTTCAGAGGGCTAGCCGCGTCCTACACGAAGCAAATCGTTCTACGCTCGGTTTCTAATCTAAATCGCCACGTGTCCTTAAGTTTAGTAGGCAAACTCGTTTTCACCGAATTATCGTATAGATAATGGGTGTACTAGACGACATGCTTAAAGTGTACAAACAAATATGGGGAAGGTGTACTGCAACTTTGGGCCAAGTTAGACCCAAATTGAAAGTTCATCATCACTGAACCGAGTATATTGTTTATAGTATTAAACAAAAATATACTTAAATGGATTTTTGATAAACGGGTTCCATAGATAATAAGGTTCTGTATTGAAACGATTTGTTAAGCCAACTTCTTAGATAAATCTATCCTTAGCTAATACATAGAATTGATGATGGTAGTAATTTTAACATATAGTCTGCTAAGATATTACTTGAGACTGCCAGAATGCTTTATTGACTTAAAGAACCTCTATAGATAGTCTTCATAACAACTCTTAGCGAGAACGAAGTTATAGTAGTCCGGGTTTGTAGCACCTGTACATAAAGAGAGAGTGTTCTGTAAAAATGACTGTCTAGCTTCGCCGAAGTTTATAATTTGCATCGCCATTTTTCGTTGCATATTGTCTTTAACACTTCAAGGCTAAAGCAGCGTTAGCGGAGCATGTCAGTAACTACAGAAGCTTTCTCAAGGCTGAGTGTTCGCTAAGAATCATCGCAGCTACCCTTTCTTTCTGTTAATTTTAATGTTTCCTGTTCCTTCAAGAAGATTAATCACGGACCCAACTAACTCGAAGGTGCTTATT